AGCTTCTGTACTTTTTGTTGTCTTTCACAATATCTTGAAAAGCTGCTTTGCCTGCAGAGATGGGCACTTGAGTTTGCTTTGACTTGGGCGCAAGTTCCACTTAAGTTGCACACACAGTTACTTTAGACTTGACTTGAGACTTGTCCTCAAAAGACTTGAGACTCGACTTGGAAACAAGATTTGGGACTCGTGAACAACCTTTATTTTACTCTTCTTTTTTTGCACATTAACATTAAGGAAATGTTTTTTGAGCTGAATGTCATTCCCTTTCCTATTACCATGCATAACTTTACACATGCATGGCGTGCACTGCCACAAATGACTGTAAGATTCAGCAACAACACCATGACTATGGCAAGCCCACCTACAGACAGACCATTTTATCAGGCATCTCAAAATGCACCGGATAGGTAAAGTCAGTCACTTGGTAATGTGAAAGACATGTTAACATTAGTGCTGACCATTGCCAAACTTGTTAGCTCAGCATAAGCTATCTAATATTAGCTTGTTACTAAGAATTTTACTGGTGTTCACTGAGTGTTTTGAAAAGATGAGTGAGAGTGTTTGCCACACTTGTTCAAATAAAGTGGTGGCATTGCCATGACTATAAAAATAACTGGGCAATTAATCACCCACCTCTGCCATTCCTCTGCCACCATCTGCTGGCTAATGTTAAACCACATTGATTATTAAAATTGGCTACAGGCAGGTTACAGATTTACTTTTGATCATGCAGTTGTTATTAGATCACTATTACACTGAGTTTGAGAGGCTACAGCAATGTGTTATTTACAATAGATTATAAGCTGCCATTAGTTGGAGACCCAGTGTGATAACACAGTAGGTTGTAGTCTTAACTTTTATTGAAAAATAGGATACAGTTGTTATTGCATGCCTATGTTAGCAATATTTTCCGGTTACCCTGAGTAACCGACAGTATCCATTTTTTAGAACCCATGTACCATACACTAACAACTAATAATAGATAATGGAGTGATGATAATGGATTATATGCTTCGACTTCCTTTGATATAGAAATGCAGTATTCGAAGCAGTCTGGATGGCACACAGCAGATGACAGGATACACATTATAACCATATGGGACTTGAAACTTGACTTGGACTTGTGACCAGAGACTTGAGACTTGACTTGGACTTGCACCTCAAAGACTTGAGACTTGACTTTGACTTGCAAAAAAATGACTTGTGAGCACCTCTATTTGCCTGTTTTTATTAACAGTTTTGCGCTTTCTAGTAGCACAGAATCCTTGGTGGACATTATCAAGAAATATGTCCAGCCTGTTTTGGGTTTTAACATTAGATTTGAATAAGTTTTTTCCCCCATTGTGTGATTGGAGGCATTCTTTTCCCATCCTGGTGCTCAAAGAAGGCACCATGGGAGAATCCACCAGCAAGGTGCACACACTGGAAAGGTCAGAGGTCAAGGAGGTTTAAAGTTACACATACACAAATGTGAGTGTTATGTAATCATCTTTTTTTTTTTTTTTACACAAGGTCAGAGTCAAGTTCACCTACATCCACTTTTAGAAACAAAGATGCTAGTTACAGGATAGAGAAGGGAAGAAGAAAAAAGGCTGCTCCAGATTCAGCACTACTCTAAGCATATAAAGACACAAAGGGACCCTCAATATGTTTGCGACTGAGAGGCTCCCCTGCTTGCAGATCTCTCCTATTGAAAGAAATCTCACCCCTCCCCCTCTTGTTTTTCCTTTTACCACCTCATCCACACATTCACTTTATATTTTTGACACATTCCATTCCTTCTCTTTGTATTTCTTTAATCCTTCTCTAACCCATCCTTGTCCAAACTGCACATATCTCACCTCCTTATATAATCAACATTCCCCCTCCCCTTGTACACATTTTATACACTGTATACTTGAATGGAGATGCTGTATACATTTGTATACACTGTCTTTGTCTTCATTGTATGCCATTCATATCTATGTAGCATTTACTATCTTTTATCTACACTGTAGTCACGTACCACTCTTCTCATCATGATTGCTCATTCATCTTCTGCAGTTAGAACTGTACAAATATAATCTTGCGTCTCCCACCCGTATTCCCCTCCTATTTGTGCCACACCACACCCCACTCATGACCACCCTCTCCATCTTGTGATCCTCCACTCCACATACTCTGGAGAAATTTGTGATGTCAGAAACTCAAGGGACGAGGAAATGCGTAAGGGAGGGTGGGTTGAGAAAACAGCTAACACAATTGATGATGATGACAACAATGACGAAGAGAAATGTCTGTAGTATAATTACAAAAAAGGAAAAGTGCACCATTATGACAATGATAATTATTGCCTGTTACAAATACTGACCAATAAACAACAATGGAAATGAATGTTGCTTTTTTGTGTTCTGTTTCATGTTACACTCAGTAATTAGCTTTACTTAAAATGAGAGCAATATCACTGCTACTGTTTAAGCAGCTAACTCACAAGGAGTAGGCTGTTTTCTAAAGTATGTACAGTATCAATGTTTAGCATCTAGGCGCTAATCTTGTCGCTCCTTATAAGGAGCAGGGAGTGTGGAGTGATAATACCAAATTCTCCCTAGTGGTAGCTAAAGTCCACAAGTCTACAGGTGGATGCTGGGGTGGAGGTGAGGTCTTTGAAATGCTCACAGCAGCAGTGGCAGTAAGCTTTTGGGTTGGTTATTGACTTGTTGTGAGAGTTACTATACATGAGGTGATTGATACCACTTTTATCTCTACAGGCTACAGTGAACACTGAAGCAACAGCTAGTAGTAGCCTGTTAGCATAGCTTAGCACAAAGACTGAAAACAGGGGAACAGCTAGCCAGGTTCTGTCTGAAGGACCTGTCATACACTTATGTCCAACCCATCAAGAGGTGGCAAGCAGACACATTAACCTGTCATAAGATGACACTTAGACAATATTAATTTGATGCTACTGTGACAGGCAAGTATCCATAGATGACATATTTGAGGTCACCAGACAGATTAATGACCTGTGTGCTGTCAGTTGTTAGACAAATAAGCAAAATTAATGATTCTCAACATAACATAAAAAAAGGCTCCTTCTGTCTCTCCCTCCCTGTCGAGTGACAGGTTCCTCAGCACCTTCATCCAGTTTGGGCAGCCATCCAAGTAACAGACTGATAAGCTCTCTCTCCCTCACTCAAGGCCTCTTGGGGTCACCTCTCTATCAGCCTTATACACAACAATACTGAGTAAATATAAAAAGTATAGTGAATAAAATGAACAAACAGATACAATGAATACTGGCATAAGCATATAAAGATTTAGTACATTTAATCCTCTGGGCCTCCAACAGAGTCATCTCAAAGAATTTAGATATTTGTCAGTCCACTGTTAGACATACTGTCTATAAATGGAGACGATTTGGTATTGTGGCTACTTTCCATAAAAGTGGGCGCCTGGCCAAGATCACTCCAAAGGCACAACGCAGAACGCTCAATGAGGTAAAGAAGAACAGTTAAAGACTTGAAGGATTCATTGGAGTTGGTTAACATCTCTGTTCATGAGTCAACTATATGCAAAATATTGAACAGGCATGGTATCCATGGCAGGACACCACGGAGGAAGCCACTGGAGCACACCTGAAGTTTGCCAAAGACCACCTTCACCTTGACACTCCACAACACTGCTGGGAAAATGTCCTGTGGACAGATGAAATGAAGGTAGACTTCTTTGGGAAGAACACACAGCACTACATATGGCATAAAAAGAGAACAGCATACCAACATGAAAACATCATCCCAACAGTGAAGTACGGTGGAGGGAGCATTATCACTTGGGGCTGCTTTGCTGCGTCCGGACCTGGACCATTTGCCATCGTGGAGGGGAAAATGAACTCCCAAGTTCATCAAGGCATCCTGCAGGATAATGTCAGGGTGGCTGTTGGCAAGGCGAAGCTCAGAACAAGCTGAGTGATGCAGCAGGACAATACCCCTGCTTTGGAGACACAGAATCTGCCTTTTGGAGTAGCCCAGTCCGAGCCGAGACCTCAATCCAATAGAGATGCTCTGGAATGACCTCAAGAGAGCTCTTCACACCAGACGTTCCTAGAATATGGCTGAGCTGAAGCAGTTATGTGAGGAAGAATGGTCCAAAATTCCTCCTGAACATTGTGTATGTCTAATCCACAGCTACAGGAAGCACTTGCTTGAGGTTATTGCTGCCAAAGGTGGTTCAACCAGTTATTAAAGAACTGTTGCCTGTCATGATCCGTCCTTGACTTCCTGGCCAAGGCTTTGATTTTGGCTTGACATCATGTTGGTGTGGTTTCACGTCTCTACTTTACACTCGTCGTCAGTCTCCTGATCATTCTCACCTGTGGCTTGTTGTCCAGTTTCCATTTAACCAGACTGCTCCTCTGTCCTACTGCCGGATTTTCTGTCTCTGTACACAGGACTGTCTTGCTCCATGCCACAGATACCTAACCCCTGTGCCTGATCTCAACGCAACCTTCTGCCTGGATACTTTAGGAAGTTGTGTTTTCTTTTGCCTCTGTATTTGCTCTTGCTTCTTGCCATTCTCATAGTCTGTTGGACGTTAGTATTTTTTGGCTTTTCTGTTTTTTGGTATATAGTCATAAGATGGGGACCCCTGCCTCAGTATCTCTAAAATGCTGGCTATGGCCATGTTCAGGCTCTACACTCAGTAAGTGAGAGTTTGGATATAGAAAGACAATAATATATATATTATTCAATGCGTGATGTATGGAGAGTAACATAATACAGACAATTAAAAGTTTATTAAGGTCTTGTGTCTGTGTTAAATTTTATTTGAATTGTACATGCACCCGGTTTGAAAACATGTGCCACCCCCCGGCCGGGCTTGTAGTTGACGTCATTTCTGGCTTCCTGTAGAGAGTTGTGGAATGCCACCGGGTTTTTGGCAGCGGGAACGCCGGAGGTCAGTCAGTGTGCTTTGGAGTAGGCATGAGAAGGAGGGAGGTACACGAGCAGTCGTACACTAACTTCTTCAACGTGAAAGATCCTCGAAAGACGCTTCAGGTACGTTTGCAATTCTTTAAGCGACTTTAATCGATTTCTGCCCCAGTTTCTTTCTTTTCTTTTCACTTTAAACGATTCTGGCCACTTGTCACGAGGGGGGAGATGGCGGATAGTGAGTAAATGAAGTGCACGTAGGCTTATATCCGGACTTTCACAAAAGTGTGCAACATGTTTGCGATGCTCAAACAGGTTTGGGCTTGTAACGAGCGTACACACATTATCCGACAGGTGTATTAACATTTTTTTTCTTATATTCCATTTTATTTTTACAAAATGATATAGAGTGTTTTACAAGACTGTAGTGTGTGAGGGTGTGAATTGTGGGTATTACCAACTTATGCACTCTATGGAACGCAAGAAAGGAAGGAAGAGGAGATCTTTTTTACAATAATAATAAGAATACTAGTAATAAAAGCAGCTTGTTACATTTTTAGAGGTTGGTGGGAATGTGCGTGGTCTCGAGTTGGTTCGAGTTGAATTGTGTTAAAAATGGGTTCCACGTGTCATTAAAAGCTCATCAACTATTCTTTAATGTGATGTATTCTATCAGAAGGTTGGTCCAGTGGTTTATATGTAGTGATTTTTTTTTATTTCAAGTTTTGAAAGATTGTTTTCTTGACAATAGCTAGAGAAATGAGTGGGTTTTTGTATTTACTTGGTACATATTTAATTGGTAGGTGGTCGATTTCTATATTACCGAGTAAGCAAAGTGATGGAGGAGGGATTCTACAGCCCAAGATGGTGGAGAGTTTCTCTGTCACTGCTATCCAGAGAGAATAAACTGGTTGGCAGGTCCAAGTAGCATGAAAATAATTGTCGGTGCAGTCTAGAGTGCATTGTGAGCAGATGTCTGTGTCAGTGAAACCCATTTTGAACATCTTGCTTTGTGTAATATAGGTCCTATAAATGGTTTTGTTATACAAGTTGTAAGTTTATGTTGCTGGTCATAGAAAAGATGTTGTTGCAAATTTGAGTCCAGAAGTCGGAGCTGAGGGAGAGTTAAATCATTTTCCCAAGGTGTATTTCGTTTGTTGTCCTTGCAGCTGCACCATTTGAAGAGTGAAATGACACATTTTCAGTGGAAAACCATGCAAACATTTATGAATGTCTATAGACACACCAATTATGTGTTGCACTAAACAGTCAGGACAAACCTGTTTGTCAGCAGTGTTTGCACAAATTATAAACAAACCATGTTGTCTGTAGAATACACTAAGTGACTGTTTTCCAGTGTCTTGTAGCATAGTTGACCTGCTTTCCCTTGAATTAATGCTGCATTTTTACATTTAATCAACAATTCTAACACTTGCATTCATTCACTTTTGTTTTACTTGGCTGCTTGCCCTTACACTGTTTAAACTTGCAGTACCTGTATACTATACAATAGTGAACGCATAGTATAAGTTTAAGTTAAACCTGTTGGTAATATTTCTCCCAAGTCATTGGTAAGGTTGTGGGATTCAGGTTTAAAGTAGCCTTCTCTGTTTGTGTGATGTCACATGAATACTGCTGTCAGTGTATCTGGTTTGTTCTGTTTGGTTCTTTATCAGAACTTGAAGTCACATTCCCTTGTAAAGGAAAGAGTTACATCTTAAGTGAAGTGAGTGTGCCACTCATTACCGTAACTTTCGAGCTAAGCATCCCATTTTTTATTATAATATTTGAAACCTCAGAAGGCTGTATGAACACTTACTTTTCTTAATCAAAAACCTGGTAGCAAAAAATGCTCCTCATTCAAAGATGGTCATGGTGTAGGCTATATTTGTTCTCTGTAAAATTGTTGTCATACCTAATAATACTCAGTGTGTGTTTTACAGAAAGAGCAAGGACATAACATCATTTCTCCAGTTACCTGGAAATACACCTGCAGCTTGAGAAAAGGGTTGTTTTTTGTGGAACAGACAGACTAGTTATTTATGCAGATGATTAGAAGAATCTTTAGGGATTCTGGTATCTTTAGAACAGGTTAAGTGTTGTTAAACATCCTTCTGCGTTTGAAAATATCATCGGTCTTATTATAAGTAAAAAAAAAAAAAAACAATCCCACGTTTAGCCCTGTCACTGGAATGTAAGGGTGAGTGGTACATACTAGAGCTCCATCTGGTTAAGATGCTAAATTGCATGACTGCAGCACCAAACAGGACATGTGAGAAGCAGGGAAATCTCTTTTGGACAGGACTTTTCAAACCAGTGAATTTTAACTCTTGGCTGCAGTATTTGCCATAAACAGGCAGACCCTGTCCCACCCAGTAGTAGACTGGGCTCTGGGCAGGAGCTTGTAGGCAACAGTGTGTTTGGATGTGTTTTTGTATGGATATGTGTCTTACTTCCCTTTTTCTCTGTGAGTCAGAATTTGCTCACTACTTAAATTAGATTAGATGTGAAATCACTTCTCATCATTTTTTCCAATACAGTCATTTCACATTTTATTCTTACACATTCACTAATGATTATTTTAAACAAAACACACATAAATCATCTTATGATTATCCTTACATATTAAAAGCTTATGTTTCTAAGCATTCTGCCATAGCATTTTAATAGCATCTCTTGCTGTTTCTTGTATTTTTTCCTGGTTTCCTGCTTCGCTGACAAGTGGAAATGTTTGAAAAGTGAAGTTGTTTTGGCTGCTTATTGCTGAATGTTGTACTGCCTCAGCAAACTAATGACTTTCCGTTAATTTGACCATTACCTCTGCACAGTGAATTCACTTCCCCAAAGAAAGAAATCAGTCATTTGCACAGTAAAAGTGCACAAATTTGTCCTGCAACCTTGGTGAACCATCTGCTAGTCAGCAATATCATAGTATTATGAACAGTTCATAATGAATTGATACAAGGAGAGATATTGGTGTTTAGCTTGTTTGTTCACTCCTGTTTCCATAGCAATGGCAGAGGCTCACCAGGCAGTGGCCTTCCAGTTCACTATAACACCAGAGGGCATCGACCTGCAGCTGTCCTATCAGGCCCTGAACCAGATCTACCTGTCCGGAGTACGGTCTTGGAAGAAACGATTCAGCCGCTTGAGGGTGAGGATGATGGGGAATCCTTGTGTGTGTGTGTGTGTGTGTGTGTGTGTGTGTGTGTGTGTGTGTGTGTGTGTGTGTGTCGTACTATATATGCATCGTCAATTTAGTTTGTGGTTTTCCCAAATCGGGAAAGTTGACAACGTCCATTTTTAGGTATAGTAAACACACACATTTTTATATCGATTCACATTTTAAAACTTTGCAGTGTAGATATTGACCATAAAACATTTCTGCAATGTTACCCCAAAAAAAGTGATGTGTATCGTATCTCCTTACATAGAAACAAATGTCAGATGGCGACGAGCTTTGCTTTCCAACATGGTTATAAATTAACCATCCACCACCTGCAGGATTATTGTCACAATTAACATTAGTCCTTTCAAAATACAACATATCAATAATGTGAAGTTGGCAAGCTAGCTAGCATATATTTTCTCTGGACATGTTAACCAAATTCCTTTGCCTGCACGTGTCACATTTGTGATTTGAACAGTGCGTGTTAGCTGAAGTTTAACCTCTAGAGTCCCTGCGTCCTCATATGAGGACCGCACAGCTTGGGTTTCCAAAGCTCAGGACTCTAGAGGTTATTGAATGAGAACTCTCTGTGTGTGTGTGTGTGTGTGTGTGTGAGCAGATTGCTGCTGATTCAAACCCAGTTTCAGATTTGTGAAATGTTAGATGTTACTGCATTTTGTCCTTACATCTGGTCTTATTGTTGTCTGGATGGAGCAGAGGCAGTAAAAACAGAGTTGTTTTGTTTTCCTAGATGCTTACCTTACATCAATAAGTGTATCAAACACTGAAGACAGTTGCTATGTTATGTTGTTCTTAACATTGTCATAAAGGTTTCTTTTAACCTTCCATATATGTACTTGCTCGTCATTATGATGCAGAATGAATCTGGGAAAAGTGAAATGCCTTCCTCGTGGTATTGTGTGACAGATAAGAATCTAAACATTTGCACAATACACTGTTGTAAAGGAGACTTCAGCATTGAGGAACTTGTTAGGGTATGATCCCATTGTACATAGCAGGCATATGTCACTCAAAATGAACTGGAAATGTCTTGGAAAATATTTAGATAAAGAGTGTGAGGTACGTAATAGAACGAACTTTGGAGCCATCAGAAATGTTAATATTTTAAACATTTGCTAAGTGTCAAATGTTACTCCGTGACCCCACAGACACATTAATATACATAAGTACATCAGGTCAAGGGACCAGCACGCTGAAGACCAGCATGCTGAGACAAGGAGTGGGAGGAGGGGCTCCTGGACCATCAGCTGTATGGGAGAAATTCGATGTATGAAGAAACATGCAGGTGTATGAGTGTTGAATCTACAACACCAAGCATGACCCATGTACTGAATGAGGCAAGTGATTTGTCACACAAGTTAAAAGTTTTCGACGAATTGGATCTGGAGCTGAACACATTTGGAAATACTGAAACTCATTATCATGAACCGGACGAAGAGTTTGACCCAGAAATAAACTTTTTTGAGAGCTCTGAAAATAACTGCAAGTATTATACGGATGAGCAGTTTAACAGCAATGTTAAGACTGCAAACAATTTATCATTAATTCATTTTAATAGCAGAAGTTTATATGCTAACTTTCAGAGTATAAAACATTATCTTAGTAGTCTTACAGATTCTTTTAATATAATTACTTTTTCAGAAACATGGTTTAATAATGTAAGAGGAATCGACCTTG